TTCATTGCAAACAGTATCATTTTTCTTTATCTCTTTCTTTTTTAAGAAGCAATGGAATGCACGATTTTTAAACCAATAATAATTTTCTTACCTTAATGTGCCCTCTACCTTTTTCTCTGGTATATTTTTAAGACACATGTTTATTTACATTATGTGCAATATCATAGTTTGAAGAACTTCCTGTGGCCTAAATGCACAGAAGGACTTCAAATCACAGTGAGGAACCCATACGTATCTCATCTTTAGGGTATTTTACTGTCTCTATGGTATTGTGTAGCATAGTAATTTTCAGCCTTTTTTTTTCTTCTTAAATCTGTAGTATTCTTTTCTCTAAAAGAGAACTTTCAAAAATTTCCATTACATAAAACTAATGCCATTGACTTCTGTCTCTCTATTAGCTCATTTTTCCTCATATTCCCCTAAAATCTTTCATGATAAAGTGCATTGAACTTTTGACCTACAAGTTAGAATATCTAAATTCTAATTGAAATGCCCTAGGAGGTAGATTAATATTTAAGCAAATGTATGTAAAATAATTTATGTTAAAATATTATTAAAATAGCTATGAAAAGCAAGAGATAAGTCATCCAAAACAACAGCACATGGATTGCCCAATTTTAGCCACGGAGTCTGAGTGGTGGGGCGAGCACTGGGCTGGGATGCGTGTGTTGCCTTCTGCTTTAGCTGGTCCTCACCTATGCATCATTATAGCCCTGACAAAGAAGTCAATTCACAGTCCAGAAGAATTTACCTGTGCAGATGTAAAGAAACCTCGCTCAGGTAAGCTGATGTCAGGATTTAAAATAACAAAAACAAACAAACAAAAAAGCAAACAATAAAGCACTATGTACTTAATATTTGGGGAATATTTCTAAAGAGCATACACACATTAAAACATGTGATCTCTGTTCACCTTTCCCAACAGCTCTGCAAGGATATGTTGGTTTTGAATGTGAGAATAAAGAGTTTTAGATAACTTATACTATTTGCTCAAAGTAACCCTTTGAATATACCATAAATTAACATACAGCATAGAATGTACCTGCCTACANCCAAAATGTTAGTAAATTTTGTCTCAGATCAGAACACAATCTCCTATTATTTTTGTGCCACACAGCTAGCTTTCTTTCTTGTCTTCATTGGCAGTGAACTTTTTATACTGTCCGCGATGTCCTATGATCGATATGTGGCTATCCGTAACCCTCTCCTCTACAGAATTGTTATGTCACAAAGGGTATGTCGACTGTTGGTGGCAATTCCTTATCTCTACTGCACATTTGTATCTCTTCTAATCACCATCAAGATTTTCACCTTATCCTTCTGTGGTTACAATATCATCAGGCATTTCTACTGTGACAGTGTCCCCTTGTTATCTTTGCTCTGCTCAAATACGCAAGAAATTGAATGGATAATTCTGATAATAGCAGCTTTTGATTTGATTTCATCTCTTCTGGTAGTTCTTGTGTCTTACCTGCTCATCCTCATAACTGTTCTCAGGATGAACTCTACTGAGGGCAGGCGCAAAGCTTTCTCCACCTGTGGATCCCACCTGACAGTGGTCATAGTGTTCTATGGAACATTGATATTTATGTATGTGCAGCCCAAATCCAGTCATTCCTCTGACACTGATAAAGTAGCTTCCATATTTTATACCCTGATAATACCTATGTTGAATCCCTTGATCTATAGCTTAAGAAACCAAGATGTAAAATATGCCCTACAAAGAACATGGTATAATTTATGCAATATGTTTCTTTAAGTTTTTATCCAACATGATTTTCATAAAATAGGTTATGGTCATCAATCTTTGTTCAGAATGTCTTTAGAAGGAACAACAAGCACAAATTCACTCAACATATATTTATATATAGTCTTGTATATACCAGGGTCTGTTAAAGGCTGTACATAGATTCATAAATAAAACAGTAAAAATCTTTGCCTTCCTTGAGAGGAATAGATGGAGTGTATGCATAGTAAGTAATTTTATAGAACAGCAGAATGTG